TATTACGGTTCATTTTCTTTATGGAGCGGGCTTCGAGGGATTAGGTGGGTTTTGGGTAGAGTTGTCCTCTAGGCCTAACCCCGAAGCTGGCCTGAGTGGGCATCTCCACGGGCAAAAAGTAGCCCTAACCGCCGCACTATACCACCCATACGACATCATCCTGCGATTGCTGCTGTCACCACCAGTGGGTCGCCAACCATTAGCCGCCGGCTATGAGCCACTGTCATCTGCTACACACCACTGCCCGTATCTCTGCCACCGTCTGCCTCACACCATCGCCCACGTCTCTACCATCATCAATCACACACCATTGGCCATCGACCTCCCACGGATGCTCCACCATAGTAGTCGATCCAGCTAGGGTTTCTCTTCTTGTTGTTGAAGGCTAGGTTTTAATTTCTTTTGATCATGTCTTTGAAGAAAAAAAAATAGTTTAATCATACCTTGAAGACAAGGTGTGTTTTGGAGGTAGAGTAATGATAGGTTAGCTAGGGATATTGTTAGGGTATTACGGGTATATTGGTAATTGGATTAGGAGGTTTGGTTATAAATAGAGAGGGATAAAGGGTGAAGGTAGGCAATTGGTAGTATGATTTAAGTTTGAGTAAGAATACTTTAGAGGGAAGATCCAAGTACCTCAAATTACTTGGTAGTTATTTGCAGTTCTTATATTTTGTTATATTTCAATACATTTCTAGTTCGAGTTCTATCAAATTGTAATAGGTCCAAAACTTTTTTTGTTGGGATGAAAAGTCACGTTTTCATTTAGAAAAATGAAAAGAAAAAAAAAACAAAAATACATACAAAAAAAACCCAACAAAGAAGCAAAACTAAAAAACCAAGCTCCAATCTAGCCAAGATCAGTCCTAAGAAATAATTACAAAAAACATTGGACACTGATGGCCTAAGAGAAACGTAAAACCGAGCAAGAGCTCACGCCTCCTCCAAACATCTCTCCGCCCCTCTAAAAATCATACTCTCTCCTTCCCGTTTCTAAACTAACCCCAATTTAACTCATGACAACCGATCAAGAAATTTGTATGAAGCGATAATCAAGAATTAGACTATATTACGTACACATATATGTACAAGCCTATTACTCAATTTTTCTGATAGGAAACTGCACTTTTCATTAAGATAAATAAAAAATAGAGCAAAARCACGGGCATACATAAAAAAAAAAGTCCAACAGAAAAGCCCTAGTTAAGAAAAGACTTCCAATCTAAAAGAATATAACCTAACTAGTCAATTTTTAAAACTTTTGTTATATGTTACACTGAAGAAGGGGAAAACAATAACTCTTAGAATTATATGTGCCCAATGCAAAAATATATATATATATATATAGATAGATGTATACATCAATATATGTATGTATAGATACATATATACGTGTGCGTGTGTGTGTGTGTGTGTATATATATATATATATATATATATGTATATGTGTGTGTGTGTGTGTACACACACACACACACACACGTGTGTATATATATGTATATGTGTATATATATATATGCATGTATCTTGATATATATATGTATGTATGTATATATGTATGAATCTAGATATGTATGTATATATATATATGCATGCAGATAGAATGAACTAATTTTCATTAAGAGGAATGAAAATAAGACATTCAATGGAAGTACAAAATATGTATAATTATACGACCCAATCAACGGAAAAGACTAGAACAAAAGAAATAAAAGGGCAAAATGTACCCGAGCCTGGTCCACACCCCCTCAATGACCCATCGATATTCGAAATAATTCTCCAGTTTCTTTCCAACCAAATACTCTATACAATCGTCAAAAAAATCAATTGCCAACATAAATGGCGTTTATTCCAAAGTAAATACATTAGATTTCTAGTATGATATGAATCACCACAGTATATATACAAACAATACTTCCGACGGGCCAGTCCCAAGATGTATTCTCCTAACAGCAAAAGTTCAAAGGACTGCTATTTCTTCGTCTCAACTTGACAACCGAAACTACACTCGCATGGGCAATTACGAAACTCTGCAGTAATATATTCTAAAAGCTCCTACTCTTTGTCTTCCTAAGTTAAATAAACAGTTCCAAAGTTGTGCATGAAGAGAGATACTTGAATACTACAGAACATGTTTATGGACATTTAGACATGTATTTGAAATATGTTAAAGGCAGCAGACACTGGTACCATCCTCAAGATGTATCAACATAAAAACTACCCAAAATACTAATGATTTGATCAGCAACACGGTTTCGATAAAGCGCACAAGATATACCTCTACAGAGGATTTCTGATCCAGAGCATGAAGAATATGTATCAAATTGCCATGATTAGTAAATATTACGTTAAATGAAGTTGGGATCGGTAGCGGACAAAACAATGTTGTGTTACAATGCCCTAAGAGGACTACCAAAACCTGCAAAAGTTGAACCAAATAAAGGTCAGATGGAAATAACTGAAGTGGGAAAGAATTTTCAAAGGCTGCAACAAAAAACATTTATCATGTTAGACTTACTTTGTGAAGATGATACAACACTTCAAAATTTGATGTCATTTCTTTGAATATGGAAAAGCAGCTCAAGTTAAATAGAAACATCAAACTTTTCCATCATAAAAAGGCCAAAATTTCTCATCTTTGCAGCACATTTAGCCGTTAATTCGATGAATTCCAGACATCGATTGGTACAAAGAATATTTTAGAGTGAAACTAGTCTAATGAGTGAGACATGACAAAGAATCTGAATATATTTCTCTCTTCAATTTCTGCCAAAATTCGACGCCCTGGGGATGATGATTCACATACTGTCTTAGAAATGTATTTTCTGAACACGCTATAATAGTGCTCAACGCCAATGTTGGGTCTGCTGTTCCTTGCTCCTTGAGCCAAGTATACATTGAGAACCTTAGGGTGACCCTTTGAGTCGTATAGGAAAGATAGGAAGGGAAATTTACTAACGATGACACAGGGTACCCCAAATCATTTAGAAGAAAATCAATCTTTTCTTCTATTTTATCTTTAGTTTGGTTAAGAATTTGCGGAGAAACTTCAATCATTTTGTAAACATCCTTCTCATCAATGCCAGCTTTAATAATACAATCGAAACGCTCTTGGAGCTCTGCTCCCTTCCCTCGAAACACCTTGAGTGCTTCTTTCATCTTACTCGAGTTCTCTTCCAGTCCTAATTTCAACAAGAACTGAGTTTTCTGTTGCTTCGATCTTTTAAGCTCTCCGGCGACCGGTAGTGGTGTAACTCTTGTACCAAGCTTCCAGTTCTTCAATTCTTCTGGATTCTCTAAGATAAATTGACAAAGCCGTTTCTTCCCAACATTCAAGTTAGCAAGCAAGCTGTTAGTCTTTTTCAGAGTATATGATCCCAATAGCAAGGGTTGAGACCGGACAAGGTATCCTATCTCTTCCACGCCCATGTCTATTTCATTGAAGAACGAAAGGCATCGCCTTATATTTGAAACGAACTTACCAACTCGGATTTGAGGGAATTGCATGAACATAGAACATATCTGGATCATTGAGGATCCCATTTTCAGTAAGAACCCGATTAAGGAAAGTGATTTACTTCCTGAATCCTCAAACAAAAAATCTGGATGTTGGCTGATTAAATCACCCAATTTCTCATTACTGCAGCCCATCTTCTGAAACCAGAAAAGAAGCCCAAGAATTTGCTTCCAGTTATAGGAATTACCATCTATCAGCTGTTCTTCAACCCAGCTAGATTCAAATCCAATGTTCTTCAATTTGTCTAAAACCTTCACAAACCCCTCATTAACACCTCCAACCAATAGATAGGGGCTACATACAACAAATTTAACAACGGTAGCTTGGCTGAGATCAAGTTCCTCATACGCTCTTAACTTCGACAGCAAAACACCATAGTCATACCGAAATATCTGAGTTGCCTCCTTATAAATCTTCCCTATCTTATTTTGTTCAACACCATAGTTACACAAAACACGGTAGTTCTCGAGCAACAAACCATCATCATTCAAAAACATCAATTCCCGCGGAAGAAAGGCATTATATTCTGCAGGATGCAAACCCGCACTCTCAAAGAAAGGCTCAAATTCGTTAATCGGATGGTAACGCAAAAACCGAGTAATCGACCGCCCAATGTCGCCGTCATTCTCCACTTTTCCCAAAAGTTTTTCAAGAAAGAGAGGTGAGTTTTTACTCATATTCTCTGCATCCATAAACTGAACGCCCCTAGTAGAATGCAAATACTCCAATAACGCAGCCTGGGCTTCCTTCCTGGTGGCCCGAGAAATCCGATGGCCGTTTCGGCCACTCCTAGTCGGAACCCCCCCGAAATTTTCACATTCTCCAGCTTGGTGAGCCCTTTTAGTTCGGTAAAATCTAGGGTTCCGGGCGGCCGGGGAAGACCCAATTTGCGAAGACAAGATTCGAACTAAGTTAAACTTGTTATCAGCAATAATTGAAGAAACCATGGAAAGTGTTCTGAGTTTTTGCAAGTAGGACATGATACACGGTGCACGCAGGTCAAGCTCATTACAGAATCAAAAAATGAAATTTCGAAGGGGTACCTCTTGAAAATGAAATTCAGCAGTTGAGATTGAAGTCTGATGATTTAGTGAAGATTGAGCGGAAAAATGAAAGGGGCGCCCGGGGGATAGAATTTGGGTCAGCACCGGAGGGAGGGTGCTGCGGATCTGCTGCAGGTCGTTGAGTCTGGTCGTCGCTCGCCGTCAGAGGAGGCCCACTGCCGGCGCAAGGCGTCGCCGGAGGAGGGATTGTAGAGAGTGCTGGTTTCACGAACGGCGTGGACAACTGAGAGAGTGGAAATTTTATTTTCTTTAGGGTTCCTTTTTCTTTGGTTTGACCAAGGGCTTTACGGCACTTGGGTGGAGATTTTGTTTTTTCAATTTTATTTTTACCCCAAGGGAATTTGAACTCGCTACTATTGGATCGTGCCTTGACCGGTTGAGTTCAAGCTAAAGTTATGATTGGGAAAAATTTTCTAGTCCTATGAAAATCTTCTCTATTTTCATTAATGTGATATATGACATTATTATATAAATAAAATAATATAGTGGACCTGCAGTATTTTAAAAATGAGAAATAGTACTTATTATATTCTTGTAAGATAACATTTAAAGATTACATACCTCCAATCATTGCAATCAAATTTAGAAATCAATTAAAAGATCACATCGTTGCTAGCCTATCAAATGCTTTAATCAGTGTCGTGATGGGAAATACAGGCTATTTAATGTTGGTTCTTAATCGTCGCGGAATATCTGTATACAATGTATATGAGAAGCGACATCAAATCTATATCTATATCTATATCTATAGTATATATAAAAGGTGGGATGAGGAGAAATTTTTTAGGTCAATTTTACCCTTCTTTCCTAACTCATTTTTATAAAAGTTTGATGGCAAATTTGTCATTTACCTCCCCTACTTTCTTTCCCTCTCTCATTCCCATGCCCACTTCTCCCATTTATCTCTGTTTTTTTTTATTTGAAAATATTTTATGTCCTTCTTACATTCATTTATCTTAATTCTCTTATTTCTTTCACATTTACTCTCCATTCATTTTTTCTCTACCATCCAAATGCATTACTCAAATTAACCTACCCAAATAACCATTTATCTTTTTTTTTCTTTTAAAATTCTAATTTCACTTAATATTGTATTTAAAATGTTTAGAATAGGAAAAGTTTTATCATCTATTTAATTTATTTTTTACTCATAGAATTTGAAGTGTTTTTCTCTCCTCTCTCCCTCTTCTATATAATTAACTCTATATACAATTTTTGCCCTCTCATTATAACTCTTTTCACTTTTCTTTTGATCGCAACTGTATCATTTAAATACAAACTTTCCTTCTCTCAATTTATCTCTTCTCTCCGTCATGATCCCACCCCTCTAAATTCCCCTATTTTCTCTCACTAATCTTCTCTCTCTTAATTATTCTTTCATTATTTTTATCTTTCTCATTGATTTTTTTTTCACTCCTTTCATCTACCACATACTCTCTCGCAATCCTTTCATCTTCCTAACCCCCTTCCAATCCATATATAAATATGTGTCCTCTCTTTCTCATGCCAACCAAAAATCAAGAGGTGGTGGATGAAACAAAGTGGAAAATTTCCAAGTGGTGTGAAGGTATGAAGATTACTCTCTTGCTTTAGCAACGACAACAACAATGCACATATGGGTGATCGAGAGGAGAATTGATAGTGAAGAGAAACCAAATTAAAGCTGAGTTGATGGCATCGGTTCACTTTCCACAAATTTATCATTGTTCAGATTGAAAGAAATTCTAGAGTACGATGTGTCGAGATGGTGGTCGATGGAATCGAGATAAAACAAAATTCGATCATTCTCATAATTTGGATAATAAGAATGCTTATTAGTTTGATTTTTATTTATTTTTTTAAAGTGATGCTTTTGATTTATATATGTGAAATGTTGTAATTATTTTTACAAAGTTAGGGCAAAATTTTTTTTTTTATCCCTCTCAATATCATCAGGTTGGACCTTTTAGGGTTTACTCTTTCTCTCACTCTTACCTTTCTTTTTCATTCTAGAATGAACAAACTCAATGATTTAACGTCACACAATTTAACAAAGATAAAATGTAATATGATAATTTATAATCAAGAAAATTAGAGGTAAATTAAGAACGTTCATTCATTAAAAAAAAACTTGCACGTTGGTGCTTTTTCATCTTTCTTACACTTCAAATTTGTACTTACTTTCCATGCTAATCTTTCAACATTTTCTTTTATTACAACAATATCATACCTTGAATTTATATTTATATATAATCACTTTCTTTCTTTAAAATGATAATATTATAAACTTAAAAAACACTATTTGTTTTACTTTAATTTAGAACTACAAGATTCTACGTGCCTTTTTCTGACCAGTGGTGAAAAAAAACAAAACAAACAAAAATGTTTGATTTTTTATTTTTTTAATGATAGGATTTGAAAGAAAAATTCATTAAATCCAGTCATTAAAGAGAGGAGATGTTTTGGAATTTTGGGAAACAAGAGAAAAAGAAAGAAAAATAAAAGATAAAAAAACAAAAAAAAAAAACCCTGAGCCCCCATCTCATTCCCTCTCCCCTCCTTTCGTGAAACCCAAAGCGGTCACCCTTCCTCCCTTCTACAGCGACCTAGCACCCACGCCAACGGCAGCAGCAGCGCAGCTAATCTTCGGTGACCCATGGCTGCGGCAGCGACTTTACAAGTGCGCACGACCCAATTAGACGAACCCCAACGACTTCTTGATGACGGGCGCAACTCCAGTGGCTCCTCGCCGTCCGTTGCTCATGAGGTTATGTTCTAATTTAAACATTTTCTTCGCTTTTGTTGTTCGGTCATGGATTGTTGTAATAACTCTACTTGATTTAGAGGTATCATTAGCGAATTCGAATTCGTTATCTTCGTTCCTCAGTTCTCTGCACCCATTTCGCTCTTTGTTTCATTCAAATTCGGCTTCTCTCCCTATCTGTGCTGTGCAGATCGATATGGCGACTCTTTTCCAGGGGCTTGGAGCTAGGAAGGCTCTGTCACCTCCAAACTCCTTAGATTCCAATAAATTCCTGCCCAGATCGCTCTTTGCTTTCAATACTTTCTCTCATCGTTCTCCTTTAATTTCGTTTACGAGGGAATTCGAGGATGTAATCTCACCGCAGCTTGTTTTGGTTTGATTTAGAGAGGAATCTGATGGAAACGTTAACCATGTTCTAAAACCAAGAATCTCCCTCAGAACGAGAATTTGATCACTAATGCAGTTGCAGTAAGTCACTTACCCTGCAGTTTTTTTTTTCTTTTTGCTTTATGTTCTTATTGTTTAATTAAGCTACAATTTCTACTGATATTCGATTGATACCTATATTGTTCATGTGGGTGCACTACTACTACAAACTTGTTTAGTGTTTTTACTCCTTCCCTTATGTTTGCAAATTTGTCAAATATTGTGTCATCTAATTTGCCCTTTGTTGAAGATAATTCACTATTTATCTTTTTTTTTTTTTTTAATTAGGTGGTTGGGGTGGATAGTTGTTAAAATCTATAAACGAAAGTGATATCTTGAAGGCCTTGTCATTGCTTCCCTACTAGTGAGTATTAATTTCTTTCTCCATCAATTCTTTCTCAATTAATTAATTAAGAGGTTTGAAAAGTTTGTTTGGGAAGGGTTATAACAGATGTTTCTCTCATTGTCTCTTATTTTATCTAATAACTAAGGCTAAGCATCCTGTAAACTTATGCTTGGTTAACATTTTAAACGGTACTTTTATTTTTTCAGAGTTGTGGTTACATAGAGTTCTTGATTAACGATTTTAGTTTTTCTAATTTCTATTAGGAATGAAGATTCTTTATATCATATTGTTTACTACTATGCACCTTTTGAAAATTTTAACTTCGTGAAATGAAGTTATGAGTGAAAGTAAAAATTCTTCTCCAAATAATAGTACAAAGTCCCTGGACAAGAGAAAAATAATTGAAGCTTATCTAGAAATGAATCTAAGAAGGAAAAACATGCTATCAGGAGGATTTTTCTAATTTGTTGAACATTTTATTGGTATAAACCTTGTACCAAGATGCGGCCCAAGTCATGAACCAAAAGATTAGTTTACATTCACAGTTACATTGTTTATTCAGTTTGAGATTTGTTTCTCGTGTATTTTTCCTCATTTTTTTTTATTTCATGTCTTCAATATAACAATTTTTTAAACGAGAGAGCATAAAAAGTATGATGACCTGGTTTGTTATAAATTTTTAGTTGTTCTTGATTATTCACATATTTTGTTACTTTTTGTAATATATATTTTAAAGATTTTTTAGTAGGATCGTACATTCTTACCAGAAATTTGAATCCTCGCCCAGATTATTAGTGTTTGAGGTAAATTTTCTGATTTAAATTCTTTTGATATGCTTTATAACTATTTAACTGCTGTAGTTCAGTATTTTTTTTCCCATTTTCTCATATTGGATTCTCTATCTAACATATATGTATGCTTTTTTGTTTATGTCAAGATGAATGAAGAGAAGTTCAGAAGTCATTTGAGTGGCAACTATGGATGTTGGTTTTACCCTTATACAATCAACAAGGTTAGCTTTTACATGTGGTTCAATCCAAAAAAGGTGTATACCCAAGCCGAACTTGATGAGGTACGGGATGAGTGGGTTGGATTCATTGTGAACTACGTTTAGTTGGATAGAGATAGTAAATATAAATATAATTTTATTACTTTAGCTTTTAATATGTAAAGTCCTGAACCATTTATGTATCTTCATATCCATTGGTTGTATCAGTGGGCTACATTTCGCTCAGTTTGTTCATTATTTTAACACTTCTTAATGAATTAAATTATTACTTAATGAATTAGATAATAGAGAATGATTGATGTACGTTGTGTGTGTTTTGGTGGTTAGATTGTGTTGGAGCTTATAAAAGTATTGGTGTTGGATGACTCAATTATGTAGTTGATCTATTGATTATATTGTACGATTTTTTTTTGCTAGAAATATTTTGATATAGGTTTTGCAGATATTTTGATATAGTATATACAAAATTTAATTAATATTTTTTATGCAAGTTTTTGTAAGTATACATTAATATTTAATATAAACAATATCAGTTACGAAGTAACAATGTCGGTTATTGCAATGTCGGGTCAGTTGGGAACCGCTATCGTACATCAACCGACATCATACTCTACGATGACACGTGATTCCATGTCAGTTGTGAACCGACATTAAAATAACTACAATGTCGGTTAACAACTGACATCATCGAAAAACCGACATCGTTGGCTACGATGACACTTGATTCGATGTCGATTGTCAAATCGACATCATATATATCTGATGTCAGTTCAAAACTGACATTAAAGACCAGTTTTGTTGTAGTGAGAAGAGAGATGCCAATGGAAAGCTTCAGACTTTAAGGCTTGACTCGTGGCAAAGGGTTATACCTAGCATGAGGGAGTTGATTATGAAGAAACTTTCTCCACCGTTGTCATGTTGAAGTTTATCTGCATTCTCTTAGCCATTGCTACATATTATGACTATGAGACGTGAGAAATGGACGTCAAGACAGTTTTTTTGAATGACTATCTTGATGAGAGCATTTACATGGCTCAACTAGAAGGATTCATAAAACAGAGTCAAGAGGAAAAAATTTGCAAGCTTAAGAGATCTATTTATGATTGAAACAAGCGTCAACAGTATTGTGACTTTCCTAGTTTTATACGTTGATGGCATCCTACTCATTGGGAATGATGTAAGTTTTCTCATCGACATTAAAAAACTAGCTGGCAACACAATTTCAAATGAAAGATTTGGGAGCGCACAACATTGCTGATTCGTTTACAAAGGCTCTCACAACTAAAGTGTTTGAGGGTCATCTAGAAAGTCTAGGTTTACGAGACATGTGTCATTTAGTCTAGGGCAAGTGGGAGATGTTATTAGGTATATTGTATGCCTTAATTCATTGTAATACTTGTACATCCCACTCGTTTTCGGACAAGTGGGAGATTGTTGGGTTTGGTGCTCTTAGCTCGTGTATTTATAATTTATGAATAAATTATTTATTCAATAAAGAGTTATTTTATTATTTCTTTGCATGACTTGTAATCCAATAAACTATCGTATTCCAATAAACTAACCTCCAAGGTTATTTAGTATAACTGGAACAATATATATTTGATATACATAATATATTTAATATACAATGTATATATTTGATATACATTATATATTTAATATATACAGTATATATTTGTTATACAATATATATTTAATATACAAGGTATATATTTGATACATAGTATATATTTAATATCCAATGTATATTTTTGATATACGGTATATATTCGATATACAAGTGGATAATGTTCTAGTAATAACCTAAATAGTCTATATTATATGAATAACGTTGGATACCTTATCCTGGTAACACTATGGATACGACCCACTTTGTAATAGCTACAAAAGACTTTATCTAGGTCGTTCATGTAGAGACATGTGAGTGGGGGTATCCTATACAATGAGTTTGTATAAGATCAGACCGCAAAATAATTAATTATTGGTTTTAACACCGTTAGTCAATAGATTGTTATCTCATAGGATGACTAGGTAACTTGATCTTAATCTTGAGTGAGTTATGGACTCCTGCCTATAAGGAATCGTCCTTTGATTTGTATGGGTGAGAGTGACCTGGGTTGCTGACTCAATAATCCTATCATTTTGGGGACGAGATCAAGTGAGGAGCTGAGAACATAACTACATAAGATGAAAATCACTCCTTCCTGACTTTAGGGAAGTAGATGAGTGTTCCCTTACATGCTGACTCCGAGACTTGAACAAGGGGCCCACCCTCTCACTAGCCCATAGGGGTGTTCATCAGTCGGTCGGATTGATTTTTAGGGCTAAATCGACGCCGACCAACACATTGTCGATTATCAGAAACGGAAATCGACCGACCATCAAAGTTGCTTTCCCACCGACCGACTAACAGACGCTTTGGTTGGTCGGTTTCCGACAAATTAAACCGACAATTGAGTAGGACTACTGCAACGACATGGATGATCGATGAGTGTGGCATGTGGGTGGGGCTGCTACGTGAACTGAGCGGGGGCGAGATCCTTGGTTGCGGCAATATAGGGACGCCGACGAAAGGAAAAAATTGGTTCCTTGTACTTCTGAGAGAAAAGATGGGAAGAAGGGAGGGGAGAAGAGAAAGATGGTGGAGAACGGGAGGACAAAACAACCTTGAGAAGAAAGATGATTGCAATGTAGAAAAAGAGAAGGGAACAGAGAAGGATGATGGAAAATGAAAGTGAAGAGAGAGGAAGACACAATATTGAACAAAAAAAAATATTGGGTGGTTTTGAGAAAACCGGCATACGATTTTCTCAAAACAACCCAAAGTACATATGGTAGTGCATGAAAAGTAGTGCATATTAATGGTAGTGGCGTGTGGCAGTGCATGAATTGACAAGTATTTAATGACTTTTTTTTTTTATAATATATGAATAGTTGGTCGGTTTCGGTCAGGTAGCTTATTTCCCATTCTCCGACCGACCGCGCCGAATGTACTATGGCTAAAACCAACCGATCAATGTTGGTTCGGTCGGTTTTGGTCGGTCGGGGTGGTTTTTAGGTGATGAATGTTCACCCCTACTGGTCCGAGAGGGAATTTCGATTATTGGTTGGACCATAACTGAGTTTTTCATTAGAGGAGCAGTAGTATTTAAGGAACAAGATGTAACTCAGGGGTAAAACGGTAATTTGACCCAGCTAGAGTTACGAGCACTCGTGAAGGATCGACTTGCTGTTAATGGTCGTACATCCGTGGACACGAAAATATTTTGTAGTGAGAAGAATGCAGCTACAAGTCTTTAGTGGAGTGACCCGCAGTTAACGGATATTGATTAACTCGGTTAATGAGTTTGATTGATTAATCTCGTATCGTTGAAGCTTCTGATCTGTAGGTCCATTAAGTCCCCTTGCTAGCTCACAAAGGGTAAAACGGGGATCAATATTTGATATACAATGTATATATTCGATATATAATGTATATATATACAGTATATATTCGATATACAGGTGGATAATATTCCAATAGTAACATAAAGAGTCTATAGTATATGGATAAGGTTGGGTACCTTATCCTGGTAACACTATGGTTATGACCCACTTTGTAATAGTTACAAATAACTTGATCCAAGTCGTTCGTGTGGAGACATGCGAGTGAGGGTATCCTATACAATTAGTTTATATGAGACCGAACCATGAAATAATTAATCTTTAGCTGTAACACAGTTAGCTAATAGATTAATATTTCAATAGGATGACTGGGTAACTCGATCTCAATCCTGAGTGAGTTATGAACTCCTGTCTGTTAGGGCTCATCCTTTGATTTGTTTGGRCGAGAGTGGCCCGAGTGGTCGACTTAATATTCCTACCATTTTGGGGACGAGACCAAGTGTGAAGTTGAGAACATAACTACACAAGATGGAATTCACTCTTTCCCAACTTGTGGGTAAGTAGATGAGTTTTCTCTTAACTACTCCAAGACTTGAACAAGAGGCCTCACCCTTTCACTGGCTCGAGAGGGACTTCCGGTTATTAGTTGGACCATAACTAGGTTGTTCATTAGAGGATCAGCGGTACTTAAGGTACAAGATATAACATAGGGGTAAAACGGTAATTTGACCCAGCTGTGGTTATGAACACTCGTGAAGGATTGACTTATCGTCAATGGTCAAATCCATGGCTGCAAAATATTCTACAGTGAGAACTGTGCAGCTGTGTGTTGTTAGTGAAGTGACCGACAGTTAACGAATGTTGATTAATTTGGTTAATGAGTTTAATCAATTAATCTCGTATCGTTGGAGCTTCTAATTTGTATGTCCATTAGGTCCCCTTGCTAACTCGTAAAGGATAGTTAGAACATTTAGTTTTGAAAAAAATTTGAATTGTTCAATTTCATTAAAGGAAATTAAGGTTAATTGTATGAGATGCCATTAATATAATGTATGTTGATACATTATAATATAAAGTTAATTTTGAATTGGATTCAAAATGATGAGAGAGATAAATATTAGAATTTTGATTCTAATCTAGTTGATTAATTTAAGTTTAATTGAATTAAATATGATTTAATTAAATTAATGTGATATATTAATTTGGTTAAATTAAATTAGATTAAATTCAATTCAATTAATAATTTTTTTTAATTAATTAAATTAGATTTAATTAATTAAAATTGTTTTATTAAAATAAAAGAAAATAAAAGGAAAAAAAGAAAGAAAAAGAAAATGGGAGGAAACCTCCCCGAGTGAAAAGTGGGGAGGTTTTCTCACTTCCCACCTTTAATGGCGTGGGAAGTGGGGAAGTGAGTGAGGAAGTGGTGACTTCCCCCTCCTCCTTCCCTATAAAAGGGAGGTTCTCCCGTTTCTTTTCGGGTTGTCGGAACGTCGGTTGATAGAGTTTCCGAAACTCTAACGAGAAAATTTCTCTCTTGATTTCTCAATTTCCCTTTCAATTATAAGACGGTTCCCACAAACCGAGTTCTTAACAACCTGAGGATAGTGAGGAAGACTTTATGGTGGTGTTGGTGTCTACGACGAAAGAGAAAGTAAATGAAGCTGAAAACGAGCTTGGAAGGGATAATTTTAATTTAATTTAATTAATTATTTAAATTGATTTATTAAATTAAATATATATTAGTTTTGTTAATGATGTTTTTATCATAATTAACAAAACTATCACTTACGAGCATTTTTTTGGGAAGTGGTGAGGTGGAGAGTGGGAGGTTGCTTCCCCTCCTCTCTCCTCCCTCTTGTTGTAAAAAAAAAAAAACACAAGAGTTTTGTGTTTTGAGTTGGTTTTCCCCTGGAAAA